ATAAGAACCCAAGCTATTAACTTGCTATTTATGGTGGAAACTTTCTATCTAAAGAGATCGCATGGTGCTTAGTTTTTGTCCAGACACACTTCCGATAACTGCATTGTCCCTGTAAATTCTTTGAAAGCTTTCAAAGTTCTCTAAAGAGCTCCGCCAGTTAGCACGTCCACCCAAGTTCAATGCTCTCTCGATGTGGAAGAGGGCGTAATTGGCTCCTAAAATGCAATTGATGAGTGTGTGGAGAGAAAAAGAGGGACTAATTTCCTCACAAGTGAATTACAATTCATTCCAACCCCCCACAGTTTGTGCCTCTTCCGTCTGCGGAGCTTTCGCAGTGTCTCAATGTATCGACATCGAGTGCTTTCGATCATCGAGAAGACGCTGCGAGTGGTTGGCCTCTCGGTGAACGTCTGGGGAAGCACTGAGGGTGGATCTTGGCCGTGAAAGTGTGCAAAGTGGTCGAAAATCTGACAATTTTGGTGGGGAGGAAAGTCACGAGGGGAAATTGTGGTGGGAAAAGTGCTGAGCTTGCGCTCAACACGCAGAAAGGGTGTAATTCACCCTGTCGATCGCAAGACTTTTCGGCCAGAAAGCGCGCACATCTTCTTTTTGGAAGGATATGAGCTGAAATGTAAATGACTTGCAACATAGCACATTTTCCTCCCCCTCTTGCGTATATATTCCCTTTTATTTGCAAACAGAAGAGCTGGCAAAGGGGGTGGAGTGGGTGTTGTGAATAATCGCCCTACAAAAAGAACTTCCTCCTCCGAAGCTCACACACACCCAATCTCGATGGAACTGCCTTTATTTATCATTTATCTTGTCGAACAAAAATCAACACAGAGCAAATCACTATCATCACTTGTCGGTTTTATTTATGTTCCCCCATATCCGCTGCCGGAGTGAGCTTTCCACGCGGAGCTTCGAGAGTCCTCGGCACTCAATACCCGCCGTTTGTTGCAACTCACGCTTTTCCATATCAAAAGGCGTTCCGTGGGAGAATGAGATTTCCCTCCTCCTCCTTCTTTCTTCTTCTTCTCCGGCACTGATTTCTTTCCGTCCTCCACCACCGAAACCCAGCGTGCATCCTTTCACCCTCAGCACCCCGCGGGCTTTCTCTTTCTTCACCGGAATCCTCCCTTTTTTGTTTTCCACGCTACCCCTATTTATTTAAATTGTGTTATTATCATGTTGAGATTAACATATATTTTTCATTCAAATGTCCATTTGATAAAAAGCAGTGGAAGAGAGATGGAATAAAAAGTTGCAGCAACTTTACTTGTATGCACAAAGAAAGCTCATTTTTCTGTGAATAATTCAATTTATAAATAATTTGTATTGCCAACAAGTCAGCAAGATGGTAATACAGGAAGGTGGAATATGAAGATGATCAAGGGGTATCTAACTAGTGGAATAAAGGCTTCAGAGATCAGAAAATCAACCCTGTATTGTTTTCTTCAAGGGTAAATATGAATTCTGGCATAAAAGTCCGAATTATTTCCTTTATTGAAGCAAGAATTGTGCTTTTATCGTTTTTATACTCATAAAATCATTCGCGATTGTGACACTTGATCAAACATAACCTCAAAAGTATCTTTTTGTGTTAAAAGAATGTTGTTTGGGTAAGTTTTTATCAATTTTACGTTAAGAAAGAACTTCTTTTCAGCTTCCACTAATTGTGGGCTAAGAAAAGTTTAGAAAAAACATCCTAAAAAGATTCATAACCTCACAATTTCTAGATTTCGACACTTCTTGAGGTGTTTTCAAAAGAACATCATTTCATAACCGAATTCTTAGGCAGTGAAATCGAAATTCTCAGAACCTGAAGCATTTGAGGAACGAAAAACTTATACTTTTATTTCTCACTTCTTAATGAATTGTGCAATGCATTAATTGGTATTAATTAGTCTTCATTCCTCTCATGATTTCTCCGCTTTGCGGTAAGAAGAATGTCAAGATGCATAATTAGTGATACAAATAAGCATTTGACGCCTTAATGAAGTCATGAAATTTCGCGTAACGATGCTCTCTTTTGCACAACTAATATTTACCCAAAGTGCTCCTCGACCTTCTTTGGCATAAACCACCAAATGTGCGGCACTTAAGTGTCTCGTGACTCTTTGATGGTGGGAAAAGTGTGGATTTATTTGCAAAGAGATGGGCGAGAAAAGCTCCAATTCTCCGCCCCGCGCCGTAAAGTTCAACAGTGGAGAAACAATAGATTTCATCTCTCTTGCATATTTTCTCTTTCTCTGTATCATCTGTACAGTTTTTTTTTTTTCTTGTTCTCCGGGAAGGATAAAAAGTCCCACTCTCTGTCTGTGAATTTACCCCAGCCATATTCTGGCTCTGCGGAAGTGGAAGTTTGTTGGGAATCCTCGAGAGAACATAGAGATTATCAGATCTACAATACATTTTAGATGTGCGCTATGTCGTAAATATTAAATCAAAGCTCAATATAGGAAGAGTCCTTTTGTGACAGGCTCCGGAGGACGGAGGAGGTCTTTGGGTATGTCTTCTAGTCGCTGTACTGGGAATAATAAAATTTTATTTTTCGGTAAATTTGCATGTTTCCCACATAAAGTATTAACCATAGTCGATAATGCTGGGAGAATCAAGAGACACACAAAACATTTTATTGTGTCTCTCTTCCCTTTTTGCCGGAATCCTTCTCTTCTGAGAGGCATTTCCACCCCCCCCCCCCACACCCTCTTCCTGGAGAGACTCAACATGGGAAATCATCCCTCTTCAAGCGGACACTTCGCCGTGACAATATACAGAAGGAGAGAAGCACATTTTGCACCCCGAAAACTGCTCAGCTCGTCAATCAACCATCCTGACAACGATTGATTTCAATTTCTTTGGGTCATCCTAAAGCAATTCCTGAGCCCTGAAAATTTTCACATCCCCACACAATTAAGGTGTAAGGAGGCCAGTGATTGCCTCCGATCATCCACGCGACGATTACGAGATGGCAAATAGTTTCCTGATAAGTGCGTCACGAAGTCCTTTCACAGCGTTGCGAAAGGCGTCAGAATTATGATGACTGACGGTATTTTATCGCGATTGAAGACCCTTTCAGCCAGAGACGCCTTATCTGCCAGCCTATTCACACGCAATCTGCCAAGGCGGACTCCTTGTTGGCGTGAAACAATGGGGAAGAAGGTCATTAAATTGGGAAGAGAATGACACTGAATTATTAAGAATAGCGCTCATTGGACACTTCCGCAGTCCTGGTAATTTCGCCCATGAATTCCAGAGAGGAAAAGCAGAGAAACATCCCAGAAAAGATCCGCCATAGAATATTATATTATTAAAGTTGCAAAACGAAATAAAACTACGCTTAATTAACGTGATTCTTGATGATTTTGGAAGGTTAATTTTTAGCTTTTTCAATTAATAATCATGGCGGAAATTATGTAACGTGCAACGAGATTCCACTAAAGTCACTCTATTTTGAGGGTCGTTGGAAAGATCTTCTACTTCTATTATGTTGCGGAGCTTTCAAGAAAAAAAGGTTTTCTATTCCAGAAGGACATTTAACAGAATTTTCAGTGTGATTTACTGGTGATTTTTGTGAAAAACCTGCAAACTTCAGACAAAACTAACAACTCGTGTCCATTTTCGCACTTTGCACGCATTTCACGGTCATTTCTTCTCGTAAATTTGCCATTATCCTGTTCTATTGTCCATCAGGGAACAATTCTTAGCACCTTTTCCGCGATTTACATGAAAAATGGAAACATAAACTCAAAATTGCATCTAAAATTCCACCTCATTTTTCAGACGCGATCTGAAGATAATTTGTATTGAATATCTCGAGAAATGTCAGCAAAAGCAATCGGCCATGTTGAAGGGAAATCAGGAAAATCTCTTATTGGAAGTAAATGTTTGTGTGCGTCGCTCAAACGCTCGCCAAGAAATTCCCAAACGCAAAAGTCCTGAGCGTGGCTCAGAAGCCATGTCGACTGCCTCTGTTTTCGTCCTCTGATTTTTCCTCTTCCGGAACGGGGGGTGGGCGTGGGCGGGGGCGAACGGAGGGAAAATAAGAAGTTGAGTGGCAAATGAAGCAGAATAGAATACAACTGGGCAATTGCGGGGTGAAGCACGAGGGAGATGAATAACTTATTGCACGGAATGGAAGGTCTCGAGAGCAAGGACGACGCTGAGGGACTGTTTGATCATAGATTAAGCTCTCTCTCGCTCTCTCTCTCGGCCCGGCCAGACAGGAAGCCCATTAAAAGCTCAATCGAATCCACATATATCGAGCATCGCTGTGCCATTGTGTGCCGCGCGCCACGCATCGAGTGGATGGCAAAAATGCTATAGTAAAAATTGGTCAGGAGGAAACTCATCTCGATCCAACTTCCTCTCCACCTCCTTCGAGGGCTGTGCGGCAGAAAAAAAAGAGCCTCCCCATGCGTTGAGATATTGAGTGGAGGTTTTATTTATGAGCGCGGCATGACTGGAAAAATCTCAATTCTGCTCTGTCCGTCCGTGGTTGTGTGTAGTTATTTTCTGCAGTGGTGGAAATATATGTAAAGTAAGCAGGCAAGGAGGCGGCATAATGGATTGAAAGAGCATTGAAGGAATGAAATGAACCTTCGTATGTTCGTCAATGCTGAATTTATCTGCATTATCCGGAGCACAGCATGCGGTTTTCTCGCCACCCAAGAGACGCTATCGGGATGCGAAGGTCTGGCCACAGACAACCTCCATCTAAATACGATGAGATTAAAGCGCCCACAGAAGCGAGATAATGCAAATGTTGCCTTTAAACGCTCAAACGGAATGCTTTGTGACGACTTCCTGTACTTTCAGAGAGCTTTTGCGGCGCCGAGAGCTTTTCCGGGTCGCTTCTCCGCTAAACCGTGCATCCTTCCGAAAATAGAAAGTGGTTGAAGACTTCGCAGTCCTTTATTGACTCTCCATGAAACACATAATTTTACAATTTTCTTTTCTTTTTTTTTTAGGGAAAATTCTCACAATTTTTTTTCTTCTCTCTCTCTCACACATTTTTTCTTCTTTCTGTCCAGAATCTCAGTCATCTTTTCCAGGAGGGAAAAACCGGGGCAAATGAAAGCACTTAATCACATTCCGAAATCACGAGGTTGAACCACACATAAAGGAGACAGAGAATCTACTCGTCGGAATCCTCAGCATCATTCTCGTCCTCCTCCTCCTCGTCGGACTCATCCTCGGACTCTGAGGAGCTGCTCTTGGCCTTCCGGCCGCCCTTGGGGCGTCCGCGGCCGCGCGACGGCTTCTTCTTCACGGCCACCTTGGCGGGCGCCTTTGGCCGGCCGCGGCCGCGCTTCGCCGCCACATTCCCGTTCTCCGCCACCTTCTTGCCCTCGGACGCCTCCGGAGACGACGTTCTGGGTCGCTTCTTCGCCTCGACGGGCTGCAAAAAGAGTCACAACGGAGTGGCTTCAGGCATCCCGGAAAACGGGAAAAACATCATTTTTCTTGCTTGCCTTGTCCTTGTCCGCCGCCGGACGGCCGCGCTTCTTCTCGCCAGTCACAACGGGGGCCTCTTCGTCAGACATCCTCTCGCGCCGAGATCGACCAGTTTTCGGAGGGAAGCAGTGAAAGACACTCAGCTGAGATTCAAGTGAAAAACCACACCTTTGAGATACGTTTTCGGTACACAAAGAAATTCTGCGTTGGAGTTTGCAATGGAAATGATTATCTTGCAAGGCAGCGTGAGTGCAATTGAGGTTTGTACGCTGTTCAAGGGCAAAACTGATAAGAAAAAACAAAATTCTTTGGAAAAATACTTCTTTTTAAGATCATTCTTAGGGAAAACAATTCTTGAAATTCATTTTAAAAGCTGTTTTGGTGAGTATTTTATTAAGAAAATATCAATGATATTTTTAAAAGAATTTAGTTAATTTTTGAAAGAAAAAATCTTGCGATAAGACTAATTTTTATTAGAATTAAAAGAAAAAAAAACACAAGGAAAAAATAAATTTTGTTATAAATATTGGCATAAGAAAATCACTTGTGTTTTGTGGCCTTTTAGATAAGAAAAAAACTTCTAAAAGTAATTTTAAAAATATTTTTGAAAATATTGAAGTTGAAAATATTTTTCCTTAGCAATTAATATAATTTACAAACGATAAAAAACATTATAAAAGAATTATTTCTAAGAATTCTTAGTTTTTTCAATTTTGACCTGGTTTTACTATAAAATATATTTTTTAATGTACACCAAATCAAGAGCACAAGTCTGCCTTGTGACGGAATTAAAGGGAATATACAGGAAGGATGTGGGAAAAGTCCACTTGCAGTGCAGCAAATTCTCTCAAGTTTTTCCCATTTCGCTCAATCAAAATGTCCACGAAAAGTGGGGAAAAAGTTGCCCCAGAAAATTGTGTACACTTATGTCAATCCCAAAGTTGAATATTTTATGGCCAAAAGGAGGAAAAGACCGGGATTTTCGTGGACAGATTGTCATAAAATATTCATCGGGACGCCATCATTTCCAGCAAAATGGGAGGAAAATCGTTGATTTTCCCCGCCCTTTTCACTCCGTTCACTTTTTTTTTACACACAGCAAAATTCCTGGGCAATTTCTCATCGCAGAGACAAAGTTGCCGGAGCCTCGGCAGAGGCTGAGCGAGCACAAGAAAATCCGGAGATATCTTATCAGGGTGAAAAGGAGGAAGAAAAAAGAAGTTAATTGCTTACCTCACGCACACACTCTCAACGCGACTCTCTCAGCGGTTCAGTGATGAATGAACGAAAATCGACTCTCCCGCCAGTCTCAGCTCTCTCTGGCGGCGCTCTCCGGCGAGCGTGGAAAATAAAAACCACTCTGGGAGAGAGAGAGTGTGAAAAAAGAGCGGGAGAGCCAGAGTGCATTGCAGTTCAGGGGTTCATACTCCAGAAATCCAGTGTTTTGTTTCCCAAAAATTCACCAAAATTGATGAAAATTGTGTAAAATTATTAATTGTTGGAAAATTTCTACTCAAGGCATAATTTCGATTAAAATTTACGGAAAAAAACTACCTAAGAATTTATAAACCACGTTAACAAATGCAAACAATTTGCTCTAAATTTTTCAAAGGTTTTAAATTTAAACACAATTGTGAGCTTGAGTGCGTATTTTCTAAGAAATTAGCGTAATTTGCTGAATTTCTTTTGATTTTCACTGAGAAAAAAGCAATATTGATGCTTTTCTTAGGTTATGTAACTAATTGAAAACAGATTTAACCTCTAAGAACATCAATTGGCATAATTAAGTATTTGCATGTAAAAATTCTAGATATTTAAAGTTACGAAATACTAAAGATTACGCAAAGTTAGGTTATGTTAAAAAAAGATTATAAAACAAATTGTTTTAAGCGAATTCTTGCAGAAATATCAGTTAAAAACCTTAGAAATTTATAATAACTTGAGAAGTAATGCAAAAATAGCTTTAGAGCTTGAAATTTTTTGAAACTCTGCCCATTTGAAAGCTCCGCCTCTTTTTCGCTCCTGCGGTAAAGCAATATTTTCAATCACCGATTATTCAGAAAGCCAAAGTGCCTTCTTCTGACTCTGTCTGCTTCTTCATGTAAAGCGAGTAACTCATTAAAAACTGTCGCATATCCCCTCAATATCAACGTATTTTTCCCATGAAGCCAGAGAGGAAAAAAAACTGGTTCACAGACATAAACAGAGCAACGTCTTGCAATTCTCTCCGAAGTCGCACAATCGAGAGAGAGATTCCGAAGTGCATGAAGAGCAACAGCAAAGACTGAGAGTTTAGATAAGATCCCAGAATTGAGCGAACCGAGGCAAAAGAGAAGGGCGGAATTGAGTGTCCTGCGGGATGTTTTGTCAGGATTCACTCTCTCTCGGTGGTATTTTCAACAAATTCTCGCCGCATTTCAGTCAAAATCGTCAAAATGCAGCCAATGGCGATGGGAAGAAATGAGAGAAAGATGTGCTGAATGTGCGTGAAACGGAGATAATGTCGATTTGTTTATTTTCTGCACAATTCCACTCGTCGATTTCTGTTGATAGAAGATCAAATTTCTCGGGGATTTTCAGCCCAGAGGATATTCGATGGAAGTGCAGAAATTCAACGCTTCTCTTCTCAGCAAATGCCTCGACATTGAGAGGAGAATGCTTGGCCAGGGACTGAAAGCAAAATGCCAAAATCAATTTACATTTACTTTATTGAACGTTAAATTAGAAGTTATAAATTTTTTTCCGGAATTATATAATCGATAAATCATAATTTTTGTCCATTCATTTGGGAATCCATCTGACAAAGACACTTTTGAAGATTAACGAAAGTTATGCTAATAACTGATTACAATTTATTCACGCTACATTGTTTTTTTTCCTTCTTCTTCTTCTCCAAGTAACTATTCTTTTTCTGCCCTCAGTTTGTGGTTGGAAATGTCCTGAAAAGTCTGTGTGTGTGTGTCCTTATTTACATTTAGATCCAGAGAATGGTTTTTTTCCGTTTAGCCTGAACGTGTTTTTCTCCTTCGCGCCTCGGACATGGCCTGCCCGGTCTTCTCATCAAATCTACATCCTAGGGTTGCTGTGTGGCCTTAAGAGCTAGGGAGCGGGGGAGTGGAATCGTCAGTGAGTTTGAAATATGGCGCGGGGCAGGGCCCCCATGTCCTGCGGCGTCCGCTTAAGCCTCCTCCTTCTCGTCCTCATCATCATCGTCATCGTCGTCGTTGTCCTCGGAGGACGCCGGCGGCTTGGCCTTGGGCGGCCTGCCACGGCCGCGGCCAGTGCCCTTGGGCTTGGCCGCCGGCGGGGCGGCCTTCTTGGCGCCCACGGCCTTCTTCGCCGCCTTCGGGGGCCTGCCGCGGCCGCGCTTGGCCGGCGCCTCGCCGTTCTCCGTGTCGGCCACCTCTACGGCCGCCGGCGACTTGTCCTTCTTCGGCGACGCCGCGTGGCCGCGCTTCTTCGCCTGGCGAAGACATTGCACAACGAGATTAGTGAACCCCCTGAGTGAAAAAGGGCTTCAGCACTTTTGACTTTACCTCCTTTTCCTGCGTGTTCTTCGCCGGTCTGCCGCGCTTCTTCACCTCAACCGGAGCCTCGGTATCAGACATCTTGCTGGGCGTCTGTGTGGAGACAGTCTGCAAGAGAAGCAGCGCCCCCGTGAGAGAGTGAGAGTGAGAGAGAGCGTGCGGAAAAGGCGGTCTTAAGAGCGCGCGTCTCAGCAACTGGAGGAGAATTTTTTCGGGAAGAAATTCTTTTCCACGCCAGCGGAGGCTGGAAAAAATGTGAAAAAATGCCAGAACGCGCCCCCATGGTCCCAGGCACCACCCAAAAATGCCACCCAAGCGTGTCCGCAGCGGGGAAAATTGCGAAAAATTATTTTTCACCACCGAGTGACGCCTCGAGCAAATTGCTTCGCCATTTTTGAGAATTACGCGCTTAGATTTTCACTGAGACGCCAAGGCGAGATTGGCCGCCGTTGTGGCTGGAAAAGTCACAATTCCCCAACGAATTCCACGCAATCCGCTCACTTGGCACACGCCACGACACTTTTCACCCATTTTCCCGGGGGTTTTCAGGGCTTTTCTGGGCATTTACTTACAGTTTTATCGAAGAGCCGCGGAGAGTTGCAGACGAGCAGTGATAACAGTTGAGTAGTAAACACAACACAAGCAAGAACGCCAAAGAGAGCGAGAAAGAGAGCGCCGGCTTGGAGTGAGCGAGACGACAACATTCAGCTCGATCTTCGCCACTTGCAGCAGAAGCTGAGCACTATAATCGATCGTTGGAAGAGGGAAAAGTATTTTCTTCCTAGTTTTCTTCATCTCTTCATTTTTTCATCATTTTATCTTGTCAAATTTATTCAAAATGTTAGATATTTGACAAATTTGAATATAAATAGAATTCTGGTTTGAATTCTTTGCAATACTTTATCAGAAATCGCAGAAATCACTATTTTATTTCACTTTTGCTACATTATTTGTAATAAAAATTTGTTATTTGTTGCAAGAAAGTAATTAAATAAAACTAAATTACACATAATTGATCTATATTTTAAGTCCACGCTTTCAAATTGCCTGCTGGAATGAAAAATGTCTCATTTACATCTTGTTTTAAAGCCTCTCTTTCGGTTTAAGAAACAAGAAAAGCAGCAGAGAAAAGAAAGAATCAAGCATTCTGCAGTGTCTCTTCGCCTCCCTTCAATTACTTATATCACTGGCATGAAGACATAATTGCAGTGAATTTTTTCTTTACATTTTAATTAATTTTCCACATAAACTGCGTGTGGAGTAAAATTCTGTCTATGCAGAAAATTCAGTGGCATTTTTTGCAAATTTTTGAGATATTCTTTGTGGTGCAAAATGCTCTAAATCACTTGAAATTTATTAATATTCCCCGTGAAAATGCCTTCAATTGCCCTCACTGACATGCCAGTTTAGCATTCTCTGACAGTTTGAATTACCGGAAATGATAAAATCTCTCAAGTTTTTTCTCATGGAATTTATTTTCTGAGATTTTGCAGCAAAGTAGCGAATATTACAATAAAATGCACTTTCTGAGATCTTATCTAGACTCTGAGATGAAACAGGTTCCCATTTATGGGTTCCCGGATGGAGAATTTGCCAGTTTGAAGATCTGACGGTTGAAAGCCTGAACTTCTTCACTGCAGCGCAGAGATTCTCCTGGATTCTTCAGCAGGCAGCTAACGAGAACACCAGAAGCCGCCTTCACGGGATTCTCATTCTGTTCCCTCTCCTTCTGCCTCAATCTTCCCTCCAGATCAGCGGCGATACTCCAGAAGATCTCCTTATTCCGCCTGATTGCCTCATTCAGCGCGTCTTGGCGATCTCTCAAGGTTCTCCTGAAGGTCTCCTTGGGCGCAGGAGTGGGTTTCTGACGCGGAGGCGCTTCCCGGACTCTCTGTCTGAGCGTTTTGCTGTCCTTCTCGAGTCCTTCGAGACGCATCAGAACGTCTCGCGAGATTGTGATGTATTCCATGGAAAGGTCGCTCTGGGGATAATCGGGAGTGGCGCTGTAGCTTCGGTGTCCTGACTGTCTGCTGCCCATGGCCAGGATCTTGAGATTTCAGCCTCAGCAGTGGAAAATCAATACAAAACAACCAGAAGTCAACTTTAACCTTACTTTATTGACAGTTGGAGTGCGCGCGATATTTTGAATACTTCAACATAACCCCATTTCCAGGATTTGGGGCTCTTCCTGTGTTCTCAGAGGCTCTGCTGGGCTTTCTCCAGTCCAGACGCGATCAAGGGATAGACAGGATCGTACTGGGTGATGTTCTTCTGTCTCACAGTGTTTCTGTACTTGTGCAGAGCTCCGGAAATGAGCTCAAGTCTGCAAAGAGAGTGATCAGGAAGGGATTCCAAGGGATTTGAGGGATTCTCACTCACCTCTCACGATTGGATGTGTGCCCATCGAGCCACTGCATCAGCTTCTCATTGGACCAACCGGCTGTGACGTTGGGACTCGTCAAATCCGTTCCCGCGAAGCTGAACATCATCAGCAGAACGATGTAGGAGGGAATGGGATTGTCCGGATCCATGGAGTGTTCGGAGAGCTGCTTGGGCGTGAGCGTGAGGATCGTGTTGAAGGCTCTGATGGCGCGGAAGGGCTTTCCCAGAGTCGCCAGATCGCCTACAATCGCCACGAGAACCACTTCCAGATGCTGACAATCGATCCGGATCTTGTTGCGTCCGATTTGTGACAGCGGACGCAGGATGGCGACGTTGCGGATGAACAGCTCGATGCAGCGGCTGGCCAGCTCGCGG